AATTCTTTTCACAAGCTTCGCTTCCCATCACGTATTATTTCCACTTGGCATGAACTATGCTACGGAGAAAAGACAATTTTCCAGATTCACATGGCACGTGCAGTCCTATGGGAAAAAAGGAGAAAAAAGGAGAAAAAAAAAAAACAATCACCATCAAAGGACGAAATGCCCTTTAAGTTTTGCCCATATACTTAAATAACCAACTGCCGATTTTTCACGGAACCGGTCGCGTACACCGTCTCTCCCTCTCTCTTTCTTATACACATAATATACAAGCGAGAGAAGAGACAGAAGACGGAGAGAAGAGAGAGAGAGAGAGAGAGAGAACCAGAGCGCTCGCGCGCAGCCGCGCATCGCAGTAGTATGTAGTTGTAGCCTCCTCATCTCCTTTCCGCTCCTCTTTCTCTCCCGTTCCCTCTCCTTGCACCGATCTTTGTCCTCTCGCTCGCGGCCTCGCTGCCGCGTGTATATACTACATCGGTAGGTAGTATACGGAGTTATATACCTCGCTTTGACCTACAAAGGTGCCGTTAGCTTTGTCATTGTCGCTCGTTTGCGCGCTCTTATACTTACCCGAGCCTTATGTTTTTTTTTTTTTTTTTCCCCGACTAACACCCGTATCTCTTTTTATCTTTCGCGAACGCGATACGATGAGCTACGCGGCATCCATACGTACGTTGCACATGTAAAACCGATGAGTGGGAAAAGAGGCGTACCCGTGTATGGACGTACGAATGGAAAGGGCTTTCCTTTTAAGGGTAGAGCAGAGGAGACGAGACTGTACAGAAGAGGGAGTATAAAAAGGGTTCGCGAGCTCCGTTTCTCCGTGCATATAATATAGCTCTGCGGGTCTTCCGAGGATGAAAAGGGGGTCGGTGACGCCGGTGCAAGAGGGACGTGAAAAATGTAAAAACTATAGCGGTGACTTTTTTTTTGTTGCTCGCTCTACGCGATAAAATTATTTTCCGAGCAAGGGCCAAGAGCCGATGTTGTTTCCGTTTGCTCCTGAAAGGCGTTTTTCCGATGGATCATGATGGGGGGGAAATTCTTTTTTTTTTTTTTCAAGAAAATTGTCGATTTATCTGGATAAAAAAAAAAAGGCCCACAGTTCAGAGATGTACTTGCAACAGGGATAATACTGAACATTGAAAAATCAGGTCCATAACACGGCGATATCTGCATTCCTCGTTTGCGTCTCCCGTAGGCTCGAGCGATGTACCGATATAACGAGCGATTAACACACCCGAGTAGCCGTTAATGCGGCCGTTGTTATCATCGAACGTACCAATACGGCAGATCTATAGAGTTGTATGTTATATGCTTTAATTAGTTGCACTTTTCATACATATGTATACAAGAGTAACGGATTCGACCGATTTTTCCATCGATTTTTTTCTCTTGAACTACACATGGCAGACGATCTTATTTTACAACGACGGAGTTGCACGGAGGCCACGCTTCCCATATAGGTCCGCACCGGAAGTCGACTCGTGCAAATTTCCGTGGGTACCGATAGTCAAATTCGACTGATGGGATTGTCAGGGCTCTGGCATCCAAGGTACGTCCGGCTGGAGGAGTTTTATGGCCGCTTGGGTCCCGAGATGCATATGTTCATACCCTCGAGCTACGTGCCAAGTCTGTACGTGTATTACACATGGGCCCTTTTGGCCGATTTGTTTCGCAAATTATGCCGATCACGCGGTCGAGATTGAGTGAATTTTTTGTTTTTTTTTCTTTTTCTTTCTTTTTCTCTTGATTTTGCTAAATTTAGTGTGTCATTCCTTTCTTCATTTTTCCATACGCGCCGAGACTGCGATGTGTATTTCATTACCGGGTATCAACGATGATTTTTCCCCTGGAGGTCCGAACTGCATATTTTATTTTTACTTTCGATCGTCGAGTTCGATCTTCGGTGTCATTTTTCGGCCTCGCGCGAAAGAGAGACAAAGACGAAAAGGTCCAGCCTTTCGTTTGATTTTTAACGGAAGGGGGATGATCGAGGGAGAACATTCACGGCTGCAGGAGACAAAAAAAAAAAAAAAAAAAAGTGTTTCGCTTGCTGATGTGCGAAAGGGATGACGGACGTAAAGGATAAAGAACCCGAGGGGAAAAATAAAGAGATGATCCATCGTGAGCGCAAGAACTCGTGTGCATTTTTTAAGTGGAGGAGATGCCGATAAGACAACGGGGAATTAATTGTACACAAGCCGAAAGGCATAAGATTGTGCCGATCGTCGATCAAATGACATGTATGGGTACGGAGGCTTTCCCGATTGGAGTCGCGCTCGTGCGTCGGTATGGATGCGATCAACTCCAATCAGTGACCGAGGAAAACGGGAGAGATGGAGAAGTCCGAGCTGTTTACGTCAGCCCGAAAGGCCAAATAAAAAATAGAGAGAGAGAGCAAAAAGGAGAGAACATAGGGAGAAGGAAAGAGAGGCTCATCGTTATCAACGAGGTATATAAGCCTAGAAGGAGGAGGAGGAAGAGATAAGGCGAAAGAAGGAGACTCGGGAGGAAAAAAAGGGGCACAGCCCCACTCTCTCGTCCCGGGGGACCGGCTTTCCCCGGCCGAAGGGGAGGCGCCCTTTCTTCGTCCTTCTCGTCTTTCACTCTATACCTCTCCGCGCCGTCTCTTCTTCTTTCTCTCTGCGGAGAATTTTTACGCGGCGGTGCGGCAACCAAAGCCGGATCCTTTGTTCGATTTTTCCTCGTTTCGCTCTCCCTGCACGACCTTTCTTTTCTCTCCGTTGCCCGGGTCTCCGAATTTATCCTCATTTACTGTCGCTCGTCCACCCATTCCCTCCTATGGGGTTGTACTTTTGTTTTTCACCTCTCACAAGTGCTGGTGGATAAATGCATGCTCCTCTGATGGTGATTGGTTTGAAGCGTTTCGCCCAGGGAGCTTTATCGCTCTGACGACTAAATGAAAAAAAAAAAAAAAAAAAAAAAAAGAAAAAAGAAAAAGGGGCATTATGGCTGTTTTCGCTATTTTGTGAAATATCGAAAAGTCACTGTAATGGTTTTTTTAATTTTTACAAACTCAAGTTTGCGTGATCTGTGCCGTACCGTTTTCGGTTTTTTCTAGTTATAGTTTTTCACTGCTCGAGTTCGGAGGAAACGTTCGCGTGATATAGTTAAAAGTTTGTAAGTTCGTGCTTGAAGTTTCGAACGAAGCAGAGACATCTCGGGTTCACCCGCGTTGCTTTGAAGATCTACCTTACCTGTGCAAGGACATCTCTGTACCAACAAAGCATAACTTATTCCGCGTGTGTACACATGATGGCATTTAACGTGCAGTGCTTTTATCCTTCAGGAAGTGACAACAATTTGCTATTCGTAGATAACGTAAACGTTATAATTGTCGAATGGGTTTTTTACGAGATGACAAAGTTTTTTTTTTTTTTTTTTTTTTTGTTGATCATGATGGAAACAGTGGGTATTTACAGTAAAAGGAACAATTGTTTTTTGTCCCAGTGAGTATTTGCGCTAAATTTTAGATTCTACATAAGAAGTTATAGCCTACAAAAAAAAGACATTTTCATACTTGCTATGTTTTATTGTTTATCATTCATAAAATTTTTTTTTTCTGGGTTCGTCTTTTTTTTTCTTCAACTGATATATTAATTTATCTTTTATTTTTGTTTATCTAAATTTTTTTTTTTTTTATTGTAAATATCCACTTGCGTTGAGAACATTGCAAATTATTGTACATGTAAAATATGTTAAGACGAACGTTTTGCATAAATTTTTTCTAATGGTGGTATTGTGAGGAAAGTATTTTTTTTTTAGTTATTTAAAATGCATAGAAACGCGTCAGAAATGAATTTAAAATTTTTAATTTGATTATCTAGCTTACTTTAGTTAAATTCATAGGTTGAAACATACTTAATACAAGCAAGACTTTATTGTGGATAATTTAATTTGTAGATAATATACAGAAACTAATTTTCATTCGAGTCGTGGAGCTACACACAGTTACAATAGTGTAGTAAAAATCAATATTGCGTGCTCATAATTACAAAAAAGCAAGAGTTGTGAAACATATTTTTAAAATATGATATTTCATGTGCACAATCTTAGTAATTTAAGTGTTTCAAGTAAAACCACCACCTATTAGAAATCCGTTTGTTCGAAACTGCTTTTGGTATCTCCTTCCTGTATGATTACTTACTTAAGTATTATCAGTTCAGTCATCGCTTGTAGGTAAGTAAAAATATAGTTGATAAATACGACGGGCAAAGCTTATTTTATACCATCACACCAATAAAAAATTTGACTGTAAATATTAATATATTATTTT